GGAAGGAAGGAGAAAAAGAAAGAGAAAGAAGGAAGGAAGGAAGGAAGAGAAAAAAGAAAGGAAGGAAGGAAGGAAGGAAGGAAGAAAGGAGGCTGAAGGTGAGCCTAGCAGTGATCCGATAAGCAGTGTCCCTCCACCATCTGTACCTCCAGCTCTTGCCTTCATTTTGTGGCTTGGCTGCATTTGCTCACGCACTGTAACCTGGAAGATGAACCCTTCTCAAATTGCTTTTGGTCTGGTATTTACCCCAGCGACAGACAGAACAATGACCCTAAATACTTCTAATAATATATGACTTTACTGTGTCTGACTTTACTGCGCGCTCGAGTGCGCACACGTGTGTTCAGGTACCCGTGTGCATTTATAAAAGGCAAGGATTGACACTGGGTATCTTAGTTTATTGAAGATCTAAACTCAGGCCTTTATAAGCTTGTGTGATAAGCATCAAACCCACTGAGCCATCCCCCCAACTTAGCTCATTTTAAGTAACCACAATTTTTACACTCAAGAAAGGTACTGAAGAACAAAACAACCAGTCTGTGAAGTGCAGGTCTCCATCTGTCCCAACAGTGTCTCACACTTCCTTTCCTTTTTTTCAATTTGAGATATTGATTTTTTCCATTTTAATTTGATTTTGGTGTTTTATTCAAACAAACATTTTAAAACTAATTGATTTGCATTAATATATAATCACGTGCATAGTGCTAATTCCACAAAGATCATTTCATACAACTATATAATATACTTTGAGCAAATTCCTCCCATACCTCCTGCCCCTAGCCTGCCTTGGCCCTTTTTGTTCCCCTAGACATCTTTTTTTTTCCTACTTTCATGTCACCCATATATACATGATTTTAAGTATCTAATATAAAATCTAGGAACCATAAGTGAAAGAGGATATGTGGATATGTTATCTTAACTTAATTCATTTAATATTTTCATCTCTGCCTCTGTCTATTTTCTAAAAACGATATATAATTTTGTTTTTCTTTATTATTGAAAACATTTCAAATATATATTATATGTATTACATTTTCTATGCCCATTTCCTACTTTTAAATAATCATTTTCTAAATACAATGTCAATCTAATCTTTTCCATTCAGGTCAATATTGAATACTTTATAGTACTTATAACGTAATATAATATTTATAAATATTTCAATCTGATTTTCATTTCCCAGAGTAAAGCTGTATATTTTAAAAATCTCAGCCTGTGTAACAACAAATGAGATCTGGAAACATTTTACGAATAAAACATTATTTTGTTGGGTGAGTTTGTAGCCATTAAGAGGAGAGAGTGTGGGAATGAATCTCCTCTATACAAGCCTTGCATGGAGGCTGCAGTCACATGGATGGAGGGGATGGAGAAGGGGATGGAGGGAATGGACGGAGGGGAGGGAGGGGATGGAGAGAGAGGATGGAGGGGATGGAGGGGATGGAGGGGATGGAGGGGATGGAGGGGATGGAGGGGATGGAGGGGATGGAGGGGATAGAGGGTTCCCTTGACCAAAGATGGATGCTCTCCTTGCTCCTATGGAGTTCAAGTCCTAATCAATCATGGAAGATGGGCAGTATCAAAGGAAAGAATCCAGTCACTTCTGAATTATTTATTGTGAGGAAAGTCATATATAATGGCAGAGAGGGGCACAGACGTCAGGTGGGCGATGCCCACTGTGGCTTCTGGACTGTGCAGGTTCTCATTTAGGACAGGTGAGCCGGAACTTGTAGGAGGATGTCCTTGAACTCCTGAGCCTCCTGCCTCCCCCTTTCAAGTGCTAAGATTAGCACTTGAATGTCACACCAGGCTTTTTGAGGTTTTGGTTTGAGATAAACGTCTTCATCTAGCCCAAGCTCCAGGAACTTGCTATGTACCTGAGGATAGCCTTGAACTGCTGAGCCTTCTATGCCTCCTAAATACTGGTGTTTGCAGGTGGCTAAGTCAGGCCTTTTGATTATTGTTGAAGGGATGGTTTCTTTATTTTGAAACAGGTTCTCAAAGACTGGGGGGGAGGGGAGGTGGAGTAATCCAAAGTCTTGAAATACTGGAAAATTACTCTTTACAAGAAACTTTTCTGCAGGTTTACATTTTCAGAGAAAGTCGTTTTTCTTGCAAAATAAACTAAGCCAAACCAATCAGAACTTTCCCACATCCTTGTTGAAAAATATTGAGTTTAGTCAAGACGTCAAACAGGACAAAAAAAACATGTCCAATACCTTCTCTTGCGTAGGGTTCAACACCATGACCTAAAGCAACTTGGGGGAAAATAAGGGTTTATTTGACTTATACTTCCACATCACCATCTACTCAAGGAACTTGAAGCAGGGACTGAGGAAGCCACAGGGAATGGCGCCTTTCTGTCTTATTCTCTCAGTCTGCTTAGCTATCCACCCCGGACCACCTGCCCAGGGCTGGCACTGGCATTGGGACCTTCCACACCGATTATTAATCAAGAAAACGTCCCCCAACATGCACACAGGCAATCGAGTAGAGGCTCTTTTTTTTTTTTTTTTTAATTTTAATTGAGGTTCCTCTTTCCAACTGACTTTAGCCTGTGTCAAGCTGGCATAAAACTAACTAATGAACCACACCCTCCCAACAGTCCCGTAATGGTTTTCACGCTATCTGCAAGCCCCACTTTTAAAGCACCCCTCAAGACTATAAACATTGACTTTTTAAAAGTCTCTTTCAAGCACAGTGCTTTCAATTTAGACTTGTATAACTGGTTCTTTGTAGTTAGACAGCAGGTAACATCCAAGAGTCCTCAAGATCTCTCCTTTCCTTTGTAGTTACCAGTTGACCCCAGACTGGGCCAATACCATCCACCCAGTGGTTCTAAGAATCCATTGATGAATCTTTTCTAAATAAATTACTTCAACTGACTGACAAACAGTGACATTTACATTTCTTTGTATTCTTTGCATATCTCGGATTAGATCTGATTTGTTGTTCCCATCAAAATTTTGGCTTGAAGTTGTTTTGTGGATAATACAGTTAACCCTTCAACAAACAGCACTTTTTTTTCTTTTTCTTTTCTGTTTTGTTTTGCCTTGTTTTGGTTTTGGTTTTTCGAGACAGGGTCTCTCTGTGTAGCCCTGGCTGTCCTGGAACTCACCAGAGTGACTAGGCTGTCCCTGAACTCAGAGATCTGCCTCCCTCTGCCTCCCAAGTGCTGAGATTAAAGGCGTGAGCCGCCACCACCAGGAACAGCACTTATTTTATTCCAAGCATACTGTTTGCTCTATTTTCCTTTCCCTCCTTCCCTCCCATCTTTCATTCATCTTTCTGTGTGTGTTCATGTTTGCATGTG